TATTGATTAAGTCGATTATTTTCACATATCGGGAAGTTTCATGTAACTTGCCTCAGGCAAATACCAATACCAACTAGTTAATTTTAATATTAATGTAATATATTTACCATTAACTGTATGCGCAAAAAGTTCTTCAGGTGTTTCACCAAAAAATGGAACACAACCAATAAGAAATTCGTATAAAATAATTCCCATAGACCACCAATCAACAGGTTTCCCATAGCCCTGCCTTAATATAACTTCAGGTGCAATATATTCAGGTGTACCAAACACTTGCTTATCTGAAAATTGTCTGGCTTCTCTGTCAATATACCCTTCATATAAATTAGTTGCCACTAAAATAAATAAAAAAATGTTAATTGCATTAATAAATAAATAAAAATTAATTAAACAACAAAAATACTCACACGACATTAGACCCATTTTACTTAAACCAAAATCTGTGAGTTAATATGTCCTAAGGCAGTAATCAATAAGCTGTAAAGATTTGCAATACAGAATTTAGTGTCTTTTGAGGTTTCCAAATGACGTATAACATGAAATTAATTATACATACTTATCAGGTTTTAGGTCTCTATGGACAATGCCATAGCTGTGCAAATACTCCACTGCAAGCACAGTCTCCGCAAAATAAAACCTTGCCATATCTGCCGGAAATGGTCCAATATTTTAAGTAAATATGCACAATCACCACCTTCTACATATTCCATAACCAGACACAATGCCTTTTAGTCTCGAAGCTGCAGTACATACTGACTACGAAGGGATTATCAGCAAAACTTAAAATATCACGTTCAGCAAAAACTTGCTCAACTTTATTACGAAGAACTAAATTTGTTTTGTTGATTTTTTCATTGCAAACCTTTGTCTGTTTTGCTTATGTTTAACAAGATATACAGCCCCATATGCACCATTTGAGATTAATTTCACAATTTCGTAATCGTCCTCGCTCGGCGAGAATAATTGAGTATTATGTTTTTTGTTTGGTGTTGATGTGAAACAAGAATTTTTATTTGTGCTGTGGCTTGCATTACCACCGCTATTGCCACTTCCACTGCTGCATGTAGAAGTAGTTGAATTGTCATGTAACCACTTATTGTCTTTCAAATCTAGTTGCAGCTCTTCAATTGGGTCTCGATTTAATCCTAGTTTTTCGATTATATATTGGGGAATGTCTGCTTTGATGCCCTGCATATCTTTAACTTGTCCTTCTGCTGCTTCCAGCAGATGGTAAAATTCCTCCGGATCAAATTCAAGACATTCTAATAGCCTCGCTGGGCGTGAAACTATAAGAAGTAGCTTCCGTATTAAACTAGTTATCTCCACTGCTGCTTCCGGTGATTTTTCTTTCGTCTAGAACAATTATGTAAAATAAGAATACTCTAAAAACTATAATTCATTTTTCTTAAGCTAAGTAAATTTTTTTAAGAAACAATTTGTTTGTTTTCTTTTTTTTGACTGCTTATTTCATGTGGCACTATTGTATATACATATGACACAACATGCTAACAAATATTAAAAATAATGACAAAATTAAAATTGAAAATTTGTATTTAGAAAACTAATAATTACCTCAGTAATTAATCGTTCCAAATTTTCCTGCATTTCAAAAAAATAGGTGCTAGTGATAAGTTTGGCGTGCGATTTGTCCAAACAGTCCCTAGCGACTTCTAGGACTTGATGATGAACGAATCGTAAAATTGGACATTGTTGCATGAATGAAGTACTATCAGATTTATGGTCGTTCACAAACTGTGCTAGACGTTCCTCCATTTGTTGTGTTGCTTTTGGAAATCTCTCCTTGTACAGAGTATTCATAGTTGAAACCTCATTATCGACGTGAAGCGTCCTACTTGGACTACTGCATAAGGCAATATGAACAAATTAGATATTACGAATATTTTTCATCAATATTTATAGAATTTGGTTTTGGACTTGTTATGTTAATGTTGATAAAGTTATCGATAATTACGCAACATGAAAATGCAAAATTAATCATGTAAAATTTGTAATATTGATTTACCTCAAACTACGTGAACGCGGTCGATGAAATGGTGACTTTTTTCCATTTCCGGAAGAACCTCCGGAGTCGTCTTTATTTGAAACAGGCGTAGAACCCGAATTACTATCATTACTTGAAAAATGATGAATGAGCAGTCTTAATTCATCGCTTGTTGGAAGGTTTGGTAACTGATGAAGACGTTCCTGACTTGAACATTGTGACTGAAAAAAATGGTTAAATCACTAGAAGCATATTTGAAAATAAAACATGTATATCATACTAAAAAATTTATCGCGGTTTAATATGAATCGAGAATAAAATAGTTATTTAATTAAATTATACAAATAAAAATATTATTTATTTATAAAATATAAATTTTATTTATTATTTAAAATTTATAAAAATATTTTTTATAAGAGTAGTTACAACTAGCGTTGCTCAAAATATATATTGAAAAGTATTTGAAGCCAGCCAAAACAAAAAAGAGAAATGTATAATCTAATATAATCTATATATAATCTGTAATCTAATCTTAAAATATTCATAATCTATCTTGATAGCAATTTCCAATGCTTTCCGAAAATCATAAAATATTACTACAAATTATGCCATGTGAAATGAAGTTTTTATATTTACTATATCTTATATTTACTATATCTATAAGTTTTCATTTTAGCTTATTTAAATCATATATGTATACATTTTTGCTAAATCATTGTGTAATCTTACCGATAAATTTGAACTACCAGGAGTGGTTCCGTAACCAGAAGAAGGAAGTGATGCAACCGACCAGCGTCGTCCGTCACCTCGGCAACCGCCTCCCATAACACTGCTGGAGTACCCAAATCATAAAATATTGAATTCTAATTTCTATTGTTATTTATTTGGAACAATAAATATTAAGAAGTACAAGTACAAAATATCACACAACAACAACTTTCATAATAAAGAAGATGTAAACAAAATATAATCTGATAAATAGTAATATATCAACTTTTAAGATTTCATTTTATTGGTATTAATATTGTTTAACTATTATAACAATTGCAATAATTTAATTTATTATATTAATTAATTAGCAAAAGTTATTTAAGATAAAAATCATTGTACGTGTGTTGAATGCTAACGCAGGCACTTCATGCATATTCGAATATAATTATCGGATTATCGCTTTTCGAATATAATTAAGTAGAAAAGAATACGACAAAACTGAAATGATATGAAGTTGTGCATGCGATAATATAAGAGAGCGATTTCCAAACATACCGTTTGGGTCCAATGAATGCGAAATGTGAGTTCGGGGAATTTATCCTAGGACTGTCAATAGGACTAGCTGAGATGGGTGAATGAGATCTTGGAGATGTGTTGGCGGCGAGACTCAGTCTGTGTGCCGTCGACACAGTCCTGCCAGATCTGCGAGGCATGCCAAGCTCTTTCTATCAACACACAGAAAAAACAAAGATTATTCGACTCATAGTTATGCGTTGCCTTTTGCAAAATATTAATCATCGGCATGGTTCTTGAAATCACCTATAGAAAGTATTCTGATGTGTTTGTGTATATCGATTTTGGACACTTATTATATATATTGAGAAGAAAAAGAAACATACAAATTCCAATAAAATTCCAAACTTTTATGATCACAGAAAAGAACATATGTACATACATATAATAATATTTCATACTTATAAACTGCTGTAATTCATAAACGCGAACACGATGTCTTTAATCTCAGCTGTTAAGTATTAATTCCTTTACAAATAAAAATGATTCCTTTGTATTAAGTTTTGCTATATACCAATATTATGTATGTTTGTCAATGTACAAATCACTATATATCTTATGTATAATGTTCATTGTTTGAAACAAGATATAATTAAATTTAGTATATGTTAAATATTTCGCATAAATATGAGGTAAGATAAAAAAAAAGCGGAATAAAATAAAAATCCACTAAATAGTCATATCAATATAAAATATTGATTTCCATTAGAATAATTTTGACCAGTATCAATATACATTGAAAATCCTAATTTAATTAATTAATTATCTTTGAAAAAACATTAAAATACATTTCGATGTTTCAACATTATGATGAAGTACAATGCCATCTGATAATCTTTAAATATAAGAATGATTTAGATTCGATTACTTCTGGAATGATTTCAGAAAACAATGCCGGTTCTGTAATTTATATATCATGATGATAGATATTAGATGATAAAGTTTTAATGAGAAAATACATTAAATAAAATTAATTATTATATTTTGAATGTTAATATAAGTTAAATGTTTAAAATACAAATGTAAACTTTTAATTATTACAAGCATTTGATATCAATAATAAAAAGTTCATTTTTTACAAGCATGCGTTTTTAAAAAATATTTTATATGTTTATTACCATGTTTCCTGACAATGATGGAGCAGATTTTCCTAGAGGAGATTTCCTCATTTTAACAAGTTTCGAATCATCTGTAAATAAAATAATATATATTAATTATACTATTTTACATTTAAAATAATTTCACGTAAATATTATTTATAAAAGAAATAACATGAACTTTGATATTGAAATGAATTTCATTCGTTATGAATTTAGAGTAGTACGACATAAGAGTCACGATTATGGATAAATTTACCTTGAGAGAAATAATAAAAAAAACTGTGCAATACCAATGAACTGTTTGAAAATTTGGCAGAATTAACCGAATGATTTTAAAACGCGTATTAGTCGGCCCTGATCGTAAAAAGCTTGCCCAATCCCGCGCAGTATGGTTTCTCATTCACGCAAGCTTATTTTTTGTCAGTTGTTTATTTGAATTGCAAAAATAGAACATAGAATAACTACAGCGTATGCGAGAGACCTCGCCAAGAGACGCCGAGGTCTCGCACTCGCCTCCGAGACATCAAAATACGTCAGAATTTTAGGCTTTTTTTTTTCATCCCATGTCGTCGCCCATACGCTTGTGAAGACAATGTACACATATTGATACTTGACAATAAACTGCATTTTAAACAAAGAATGTATGAAATACATCGCCTATAAAGAGCATCCGAAACGATGATGGTTAATTAATAATACCTTCACTTCAGCGACGTATTATATACAATTTCTGACTTAAAATGACTATTAAACGAAACGCATGATTGCACTTGCCAATTTTCCACCGCCAAACCAACCTTTTACCAAAACCGGTTTAGCATCGCCCATAATTACATTTCACGTTCTTCGATGCAAAAAATGCTGCACTAAACCACTCAAAATCCATATATTCATTTTGAACTGCAAAGACACCAGAACTTTCGCTATATCACAACGCAGATCTTAATATATTTTCGATGTATTCAAGCTTTTAATCACGACTTTATACAATTTAGCGTTTGTACTATATTACTATCAAAAATGTAATATGCATATATACAAACATTGTTAATAATTAATAAACTAGCAAACAAGTAAAATTCTGGTAATATAAAACAACATAGTTAATGGCAAAAAATTCAACTGCCAAACAATTGAAAAGAGATTTAGATTAGCACAAATCTTATTTCGTAATTCTAACCAAAACGGTAAAAAGTAATATACTTATTAGAAATGACTGACGGCAAATGATTTTTTTTAATATATTACGGTTTCTTTGACTTTGACTTGAAAAATGACTTTTTTATATCCTTAAGTATAGAAACATATGTATCTCAAATAAAGATCACAAACAACTGTATTTCTTGCTCAAGCTATTATATAACAGGGTCGACTGGACTTTCTGCGGAGCCCCCAGTGCAAAACAGCAGCGAGGAGCCTCTTCCGAAGGCTCAAATAGCATTTGTTACTCATTGTCGTAACAAATAATAATACGTACATTAAATACGATTTATGAATCGACTTATATTTTATATAATTCACACAGTTTTTGACTTAAAAAAATCGAAAATACAGTTAATCAGAGGAAAAGATTATTACAGAAATAAAAATTAAATGTCAAAGTACCGTACGTTCGTTCACTTTTTATAGCTATAAAATAAATAATTTTGCTCTTATTTTGAAGAAGAAACAATTTTATTGAAGCAAATGTAGATTATAGAAGTGAAAAATTATATTATTGTACTATAAACATTTTATTGTTATTATGATTCATTGATCGATTTGAAGAATTTCTTATTTAGTAAATGTAACATAGTTGAATTGTAGCACTCAAATTTACCAAGGGCTTCTAAAGTTTGTGTTAATTGTATTTCACTCCGGAACATTAGAAAAAAAATGTTTTTTTCTATTTTGAAATATTTTGGAAATTTTGAACTTTTTTTCAAAGCAATCGCTCTGCTTTAGCTGCATAGAGACGAAATATGCTCTAAGCAATCGCACTGCTTTAGCTGCATAGAGACGAAATATCGAAGCGCGTAAGCGCTGCGTTGCCATCTGACGGACGATGTTACGGAACCCATAGAAATGTAAACAAAATTGATACACATTATTAAAATCTCCATGAAATATCTGATAACTTGATGTGCATATGTCTTTTGTTCGCCAAACGGCATTTTTTTTACTTTTTGTACTAAATCTCCGAATCCGCTAGACCTGCCTCCCGAAAAATTTAACCAGTTCTTCGTTCTTTGTTTTGAATTACATGTTAAAATCGGACGCCTCGTTTTCTTAAAAACTTAGTTACCGTTTTTGGCACTTTTTGCTCCTTATCTTCGGAATGGCTAGATCTGCCCTTTGCCAAAAACTAATCAGCACGCCTCCTTATCAATTCGAATCAAATGGTTTTTAATTATTCAATAGCGGTGGATCGGTGTTTCCAAAATCGTCGATGAAAATTTGTGCCCGCATACCCACACACACACAAACGTACATACACCCATTTTTTCTAAGGTATGCAAAAATGTTCAGAAACCTTTAAAACGTAAAGAAATATAAAAAAACTAGCTACTTAGCAACTTTTAAAATTATGACAATATAATTTGGAAATTTTATTCCACACTTTGTTTTTAATTTTCATTATTACACTGTTCGTAGGCCTATAATATTTTAGGATATTCATTAAAAACATAAACTCTATCTATCACCGTACAAAAATTATTCAAAATAGCCAAAAAATTACGAAGAAACAATCGAAAATTAATCTGCACGATTTCAACTTATATTTTTCGAACGGTTTTTAAATTTTCAAACTCGATTCTGGACATTTTTCGGAAACGTCTACAAAATGCTGCACTTCCAGCTAACTCTAAAGGATCGGCACACACAATCTTTTTCCAATTATGGTGTCAAATGGTTCAGAATGAATTCAAACAGAGAAAAAAAAGTTAGCAAATTCGATTAGCTGTCAAAAACGAACTTCTTCAACCACTGAGTCAAATAATAAAGTTAATCATTTCATCAGTACGTAATAAAGTCTGAAAAAATTATAGATAGATCCAGTAAATGAATAAAAAATATAAAAAAGCTCTAACGTGAAATACATTTTCAGATACTACACTACTGGTATTCAAAATTCTATTAAAATAACACATTTTTTCCATTTCATTTGATGAGTGCGTAACTCAATTTTCGGACCATGGCGAGCTTTTATTTCTTAGAAATATATTTTATTTCACATTTATATTATTATTTTATGTTACATTGCATATAATACGCCGATGACATCAGCAGCCAGCAATATTTTCTAAGAAAGTTATATTTCGATTACGTGAGTTTCTAAAAAAATTAGATCGAAGAAGTGAAGTGCAGCAAACATGTGAGGCATTTAATGTCATTTTTCACTTCTTATATCGATAATAAAGCTGCATTATAGCCAATTATCGTTTATTGTGATATGTTATAAACAATAAGCAAAATTTGTAGATATATTTCAGGCGAAGGTTTTATTCGTTGAACTAATTGATAGCATTTTTTACAAAATGCGAAGTTTCTCGAAAAATGTTAATATTTATTATAATATGAAGAGAATGCGTGAAAAGACTTATTCAGTATTAATTCAAGAATTCAATTAGCAATTCTAATATTAAAATGAATCACGTGGCATTTTTCCAATTATATAATTCACAATTGCATGGAAGTACAATTTATAAAAGATGCCATAAACGACGGAGTAACCAATTATGTGCTCTAGTTAATTGATGTTCCAGCAAAAGAGTGACTTGACAGTCAATCATAGTTCAAGTTAAACAAAAACTTAAGTGAACAACACTCAAAAGAAAGTGCACTGAGCGTTTCTTAAATTATTTATTCGAACAAAAGTATGCTTTTGTGATGTAATAATTCACGTGCATGTCTTACAAAACAGTTACCAATTTATTTTCATTAAAAACGTAATATTTGATGTTATGACGGATAAAAGAATAAAAACCAATACATCAAACTTTAAGGAAAAATTCCTCAATTAATTATAGGATATACACTTAAAATATAGTATAACATAATTATATAGCAAGATACTAAGCACCTTTCTATTTATCTATATCTTCCCAAAATCATATTTTCAATATATTTTTTTCATCTAAAACCACTGATTTAATAATAATAATATATAATAAAAATAATTTACAAATGAAGTCTTTAGTTTAAACAATTGAAATTTTTGGGGTTTGATAATCAAGAGCTATTTATGAACAAATATAATATGTTAAGTTTTTGCATTTTTATTTTAAGTGCGCTTAATTTCTGGTTTTTGTATTAAATGTATTGAAAAGTTTCTCTAAATACATGGTTTGGTGTACGATTATTTTTGGTTAAAACATCCACACTTTTGGCCTTTCTCCTGTTTTTATAGACATTTGACTTTTCTTATCATAACTAATGCGTGTATATTCAAAAAAAAAACTAATCTAAAAATCTAATTTATTTTAGAGAAAAAAAACAACTATAAACGCTACTAAATAAATAAAATAATCTATGAGAAATTGATTAAATTCAATGTGAATCTCAGTATTGATACAAATATACACACCTTAAGTAAACTATATGCTTATATATTACTAAATACTATAATTAAGTAAACTTACTACTTAAACTAATATTTCAAATTAAAATAGAGTGAGATTTAAAAGATATAATACATAAGATTATTAAAATATTTTGACGATGAGATGAAATGCAAAAAAATAAAATAAAAATAAATAAACTATTTATATTCATATGCACATAAAATATTTCAATATAACAAACACTCCAATTATATTTATTTATTTAATTATTTATCTATTTATTAACTTCCCGTAAGATAAGTTATAACTAATTATAACTAAGTTATAATTAGCTAAGTTATAGTTAATCGCAAAAAATGAAAATGAAATTTTTCATACATCTTTACGTTTCAAAGCCGTCTGAAAATTTTGGCATACCATACAAAAAATGGATGTATGTGTGTGTGTATGTGCGAATTCAAATTTTCGTCGACGATTTTACGAACGTAAATCAACCCATTTGAATAATTAAAAAAAAAATGATTCGTATTAATGGGTAGCCGTTT